AATACCATCTGTAAGGAAACTAAAACTTTCAGCGGCCATCCACCGCGTTTTAATAGATCTTCGAAAGTGCTGCGTTTATTCCCAGTTGATTTGGTGATGTTGATACAAGGTTGTGAACTGTTTGTCGTCTCTGTATTACAGTCGATGCTATCAAATTTGACTCCATGATCGGCAAGATGACTTAATCGAAAAAATATGGGAGAAGAACCATTGTAATCAGTCGGCTCTGTAGCTGTCGTGTTTACAGGTCTTAAGGTACAAATGGCTGTGATTTCTTTGTGTTCTTCAACTGAATCGGTACAAGACATCCAATTTACGACGCTTTCCAATGCCTGCGTGAAAACTGATGGTTGTTTATTCGCGCGCCATATTTGCAAGTGTTCAATGTATCCGCTTGATTTGCCAGATGTTTGGTCTACGCATTTGTCCATCACCTTGTACTTGACAGCAAGTCGAATAATTTTGTTCCTGGCGATTATCGTCTTGAGATAAGAATCAATGCCTGTACAATTCCAGCTACATCGAGTTTCATCGTTGAGACCATGGACAGTCGTGTTGCAATGATGCGATGGCTCCAGAGTCTCTGCAAGACAGAAGACTGACAGCAACCCAGCTAAAGATAGATATAGTCGGAAATTTACTGACAGCATTTTAATAGATTGCAATGGACACAGAGCGAGATGATCTCCGGCTTGCTCTAAGTAAATCTCTTTTATCTGTACTTTGAGCTAACAGTATATGCCAAGTAAGCAATATGGAAATTGAAACTGAAAGTGAAGTACAATAGGGAGGATATTTGTTTACAAACACTACAAAGAACTCTTTGTTTGTAGTTTCATGCTTTGTGATGTCACCGATGTCTTTGCCATACCTGGAAGTTGTAGAGTGGGTCGGAGGTAGGGGATCTACTCTACATGGCGGTGTTTTCGTTTAACAAGACACTGCTCGTTACAGAAAGGGATACTTTGGATGTCTGAAAAGTTATTTTGCAAGTATTAAGTGTTGTTTCCGCTTGAGTGCGCTAACCTACGACAGAACTTCTGCAGAATACATTATACATTTACATATATACATGCATGTCATGATATGGGATGCAAGGCTTTTTCATTTAGAGATTATGAAATCAAATTTTCAGAGAAGAAAGCCATGTAGCTTGGCGGAGAGGAGAACGGGGTCTTTCTGTCTTCTTTAAAGAAGTGAATCGAGATTAAAATACTGTGCTTTCTCTATTAAACGGCCTTGGCGTCTATTTCAAACTTGGCTTTGTTGATCCGGCGCATATTTGCATTTTATTCGAGGCTGGATTTTATGATTTATTAGAATGTTTGGTCATTCAGCGAAACATCTTATGATTACTCCCAAAGACAGCGGAAGCATCTTATGATTACTCCCAAAGTTAGCCTGCGACCGGGGGGCTGCGAGAGCATCCGGAGTTTTTCAGACCCAATGTTTATTATACCTCGAATACTTCTTGAGTGTCCTATTTACAAATCTACTCGGGAGAAATGGCGTTTATTCGGGATCCGGCTTTTAATCGAATAAATACGGTGAAACTGCTGAAAATAAGATAATATTTTGAACAAATGATCCTTTCTTGTGTTTGGATTAAACGTGAATGAATGTAGGTTTTCAAAATAAGTTAAGCGACAAAACTCGAGCAGCTTATCATTTTTTGAAAAGAAAAAAAACAAAACAAAACAAAACAAAACAAACAGATAAACAACAGAACAAGACATCTTAGACCTGTATACCCATTTGAACAAAGAATTCGATTCTTGTTTTACCTACCTTTTGAAAACCTGCGGTCCAGGCTGAGTACACAAGCACATTTGAAAGCTTTCAACGTTCCGGATGCCAACATATTTCAGCGTTCCAGTTTTCTATTTTTCCAAGACACTTACTTTTTCCTTCACATTCCTTGATATGACTAAGCTCGAACTTTAAATATATTCTCTTTCAGCGTCACTAAAGCAAGAAATGGCTTCATTCCAGATAAAACTTCATTAATAAGTGATTTAATAGATAAAAAAAGAAAAAGAATGAAGGAAGGAAAGGAGGGAGGGAGGGAGGAAGGAAGGAAGGAAAGAATGAATTGAAGGAAGGAATAGTTGAACGAATAAATAATAATGAAATAAAGGGATCTCAACAAGAGAGGTCCGATTTACGTAATTAGGAAATAATTATTCGGGTGCTTGCTCATGTGACCAATGGTACCGAGATATTTGTCTTGAATATTGGCTTGTATAAGCTGCCATATTGCAGTCAATTTAATAATGCCGGCGGCCAGTACAATGTGCTTGCTGATTTATCGTAGTGCCCAAATTTCTTGTCATGTAATACAACGGTTAACACTTTTGGAAATGAAGGAACTCTAAAGCTTGCCTACAGTTTAATATGAGTCAATGATCACAAAGCGTTATTCAACCTCATATCACGGGTTTACGCTTGATATGCTTAAGTTACTGACCCATAAATCATGATGTTACGACACCACTTGTTATTTGACTAAGGCCCAATTCACTTTAATCTAAAGAAATTTGAAATGATATTTTTGGGGCACCGAAAACGGAGTTTTTCGCAATCGGTTTCACGAATGCCTGAAGAAATTCGAAAACTCTATTAGGTATTGTGGGGTTTACGGCAAAAACAGATCTTTCTGAAAACGTCGACGTCAAAGAGTCTAATTTAAAGCGGGCAGAAGTGTGGAACGCATCCGGAGTGGTTGTAACAGGGCGGGAAAAGGTTTTAAGGGCTCTGGTTGTGGTGTATGCAATGGAAGGCTGCAACAGAGGGGGAAAAAGTTGGATTTTTACATTTATCTTGATAGTTGTGGATGGAAAGCATTCTATCCGTTTTCCGCGATAAGCACATGTTGATGGAAACTTGCCACATAAGTCTTTTGAGAACAATGGTTTGTTGACGCAGCCTGACAAAGCGAGCCGATATAACAAAACCGCAATATGGTGATTAAAGTTTGTGCGGTGTTTGACGTTAGCAACTGTGGTTTGAGTGTCGTGAGGTGAAGGTAATATATTTATATTCATTCAAAAGGCACCCCGAATGGGAAAAGACTTATTAGAGAGGACAGACTTATTTCAAGTCATTCACACAGTGTAAGAGACCGTACAATAAAATTTAAGCTTTTGTAAATCATATGCCATGGCCATTTGTCGCAAGTTTCTTTTGGATTTCTCTTAGCATTAAAAAAAAGTTACAGTTTAAAATTCATATTAAACAAAGGGCGGCAGCGATTGGACAAATTAATTCTTATTATCTGGTTAGAAAATTAACGTTCCTTTTCCTAACACTCCTAAAATGTTGTAAAGGTAAATTACATTCTTTCTGTGTATTTATGTTCATAAGAAACTTTTAGTCAGCTGATCTGTTTACAGTAAATAACTTTCTCCTGAGATGTATACTTGCCTAGTCATTGAAGTACTGCTGTAAAAGACAGTACATATAAAGTAAAAAACTATCGTTAACTTGCTTGCATAAAACCGTTACATCTTTAATTTTTGAGGCGGGAATATTCATGATTAGATTTATGATTGTTTACCTCTTAGTGATTTTGCAAAACATACCCGCTAGGTTTTCGCCTGGATTCGGCGCAGCCTGTATACCCAGGGGGGACTTTGTCAAGGCCAGGCTGTGTACATGGCCCACGCACTTCCAGGCACCTCCCGTTCCCTCTACCCACACGCATCTACATAAAAGGTCGTAAAATTTCTTTGGACAAGTTCAAGGTCAGTGATAACCAACAGTCCAGTTCTCTTGTTGGTCGTATATTCCTTTCGCTAATGTTTGTGTTGAAAAAATACCAAAACCCCGAAAATTACAACAAGTCCATTAGTTGTCGCATTGGGAAACTTGTGCCAGAACTGAGGGTAAGGCTTTGATGTACCTTACAAAACAGTCTG